TAATAAATGGAGCTGGTGTTATTATGACTGGAATTGGAAAAAAACAAAATTATAAGAGAAAAATTGAGATGACAAAAATTGCATACACCACTTATGAAAAAGTTCTTGTTGAACTTCGAGCTGTACTTAGAGGAGATGATTGGGATAAACAAAAATTCGTAGATAGAATGAGGTTAATAGATGATATGATAATTGATCAATCTCCTGAACCAGATAGATTTGAGATAAAATATAATAATAAATTTAATATATGTGATTAATAAAAATGATAAAAACAATAGTTCATTACGTTAACTTTTACTACCCTACAATTAAAAATATAAAACACACAGAAGATATTATAAAAACAGCACTGATATATCGATTTTTATACGAACATTATGTAAAAGATTATATTTCACTTGAAACAATAATTTATAAACTAAATACTTTACCTATTAAATCTAATAGTTCGATAATCAAAAATCATTTAATATTTCATAGAGCATTTAAATCTTTTCACACAAATTACAAAGCTGGAAGAGGATGTGTATACTTATTTGATTCTCCAATAAAAAGTGAAGTTCTTGGATATCTAACTGGTATTTTATATTGGATTTTTCATAAAGGAATAATATAATTATTAATATAAAATGAGAGCTTGCATTATTTTAAAAAAAGATCTTGAAAAACTTGGTAAAAAATTAATGAAAGAATTTTATGAACATGTACATGACGAATACATGTTAGAAGAATTTGATGAAGTAAAATTAAAAAGAAAATTCTATGATGAAAATCTTACTAAAGAATTTTTATCGTTTTATGAAAAAAAAGAAAAAACCTTTATAAATTTATATTTTGATAATAAAAGATATGAAGATTTAGTTAAAATGAAAACTAAAGATTTGTTATCAAAAATAGAAACTAAAATTAAAGATGAAACTCTTGATTTTAAAATAATATTTAATTTTTTAAGTCAAATGGATATTAAATTAAAAATTAGCAAAGATATAGAACATGAAATCGATGAAGATCTTTTTTATCTGAAAAAAGCATTTATGCATATGTTTGAAGTATATCATTACGATTGTTTATATTTAGAAGATTAAATTTTTATATTATTACTTTAATATAAAAATTTATTTTATTATTTCTTTATAAGTTTCCCACCAACTATCATAAGTTTCTAAAGTTTTAGGGTTTATTTTAAGCTCTAAACTCTTATACTTTTCACACCTCATTTCATTCAAAATTTTTTTTATTACATAAGTAATATTTATCATTCTCTTTCTAAAATATTGTTTGTTAATATTTTCCATAATGTAATTATCTATTTTTAATAACCTGTTGTAAAGTTCACATTTTTGTTCATCAGGAAGATCTATTAGTTTAGAAATCTGATTAACCTTTTTATCGTAGTAATACTTCCTATGATAAATACTCTTTTTTCTATAATGTACCCTATCATAATCTTTCATATCGTAAAATCCTAATACATGTCCATTTACTATTCCACATTCATAACATATTTTTTGACCAAAATCAATGAAAAAAGATTCTGTATTTTTACATCCTAAACATGAAGCTACTGTTGACTTCTTAATCCCCTCACTTTCTTTTACCTTATAATTATGTAAAATATTGAGATATTTTTTTATTTCTTCTTCTGTATATGACATTTATTACTACTTATTAAACCTTAAATCTAATAATTTTCTCTAATAGCTAGAGTATGTATTTGATCATTTAACACATGTCTCTTATCATCTTGACTACTAAGAGCTATTTTGTTAACCTCTTTTGAATACAGATCATGATTTTCACTTCTTATTATTTTCATCTTTCTCATTTCTTTTTCACCAGAGAATAAACATCTAACATAATCATCAAATATTAATGACTTTTTTACCACATTTTTTTTTATTCCTTTACACTTCTTTAATTCTTTTTCACCCTCAACTTTAAAACTATAAAGTTTTGGTCTCAATCCAATAAAATGAGTTATCTGTTTTCCTGATGCTTCATCCTTAAACATACCAATCACTTTTTTGTTAACTCCTGTAGTTATTCCAGAAGGATGATCTGATGGAAAATCACTAGTATCAAATTTATTTTTTATATCATAACATATATCTTCATAAAAATCTTTTGTTTTAATCTGATACATTAGACTGTCAGTATCTGTAAACAACAATTCAGCTTTTTTTCCATATTTATCTTTGATATAATTATAATGAAAATCAAACATTAGAGTTTTTGATAAGTCTAAAATTGCTTGACCAACATATACTGGTTTATTAAAATACACTTCTGTCTTTTTCATATGAATAGCAATAAGATTTCGATCAAATATTGTACATCTATCAAAGTTTGGACGACTTGATAGTTTTAATGCTTTTTTACGATCATCAACAAGTACTATATTTTGACGCTTTCTAATATTTTCTATTGTTTTACCAAAAACTGAATTGTTCATTAGTTTAAAAAAGTCTTTCTCAAAATTGTTTGCAGCACATTTTCGAAGTTCTGTATTTTTTCTTATATATGGTTCCATCCAAGGAGACTGATAAAATGATATTCCTCTGTGAACAGCAGTAATCTTCATACCCAACTCAAGACATTGTCTAAGAGCTCTGTAATGAATAACATAATTTTTTCTTGGTTTAAAATGACATATTAGTTTTTCAACTCCATTAACCTTCATTAATTCAGGTGCAAGAGGATAGTCATTATGAAGATCCCATAAGTCTGGTGGATACTCCAAATCAACTTCAAAAATATATCCCTTCTTACCAGTATTTGCCATACTATCATTTGTTTTTTCTAAAATTTCCATTACCTTTTCTTTTGTAATATTATTCATCATTTTAAAACCATGTGTTGGTAAATTCTGAGACATAGCCCAACCATAAAGATTGTTTGCGTCCAAATATTGTATAAATGATGATTTCTTTTCAGGATTATAATTTTCCATATATTTATTATTTGCTTCTGCATACCTTTTTGATATATGTGTTATTCCTCCACGAATACCACGCTCAATCATCATTAACATATCATAGTCATGTAATAACTCTAAACGTTGTCCTGTTGTTTTTAGACATGCATCCCAAGCTAGTCCTGGAGATGTGAAGTAATGAGCTGGATCTAACTTGTAATGTTTTAGACAAGTTTTCCTAAAGTTTTCAAACACATCTGCCAAAAGCATTACATCAGATTTTAGGTAAAGATCGTGATAGTCTCTTATTGTTTTACACCCAAATGTATTCCAGACTTTAATCGCATGTTGATAATCTTCATCACTTATATCTTCATCATATAGTTTTGAATAGAACCCCTGTTTTGGTGGAAGATGTGTTTCTGATAGTTTTTCAATTGATGATACATAATCATAAGGATAAACTCCTTTACGAGTTAGTAATGAAGTATTATGCTTAAACGCATGTTTTGTAATATGAAAATCATCTTGGTTTAAATTTGAAACAAGATTGGCTAGTGATGTTTGAAGAAACTTAAATGAGTCAACAAATCTGATTTCAAATTTTATTGCTTTAATATCACCATGAATATCTTTATACTCTCCAACTTTAATAGATTTAGAAAATGAAAGATATTTTTCTTCAGTAGATGGAATACAACTAAGATCACCATCTATTTTAGCAAGTTGTTTGATAAATAGATGAGCATCATAACCCTGAAGATTGTGAAATATAACTGGTAGTATTCTTGGTTTTTTACACATAAGATTACATTTGTTATGTGCTGCACCACGGTACTTACCTGTAAAATGACAATGATCTCTAACTCTATCTTTATCTAATTCACCACCACAAATATGACAATTAACCGCATTATTAAAATCTTTATTTGATTTTTCACTCATTACTAAAGGTTTTGGTTTACGATAAAAATCTTCATATATCCCTTTAGTCATTTCTGTAAGTTTTTCTACAAATATTTTAGCAATATCTTCATCATCTGATTTTTTTGTATAAATGATTGGTTTAATTCTTTTATTAACAATACCCTTTGTATAAAAACAAAATCCTGATGGTTCATGTTTTTGATAGTTATAGTTATAAGAATCTTTAGGATTGGGGGAACAGCTATTCATTGGTTTAGTAAAACATTCAAAATCTGCATATACAACAAAAGGAATAGGAAGTTGTCTATCATAATTAGTAAAATGTAAAGTTTTGTTTTTTTCTGGCATTTTTACAAATGCTGATTTATTACTAGAACAATATTTGATGTGTTTATCTAATAATTCTGGTTTTGTAAAATAACAAAGACATCTCTTACAAATTTGTATAGGCTCATATGTTCTTGAAGTAATTTGACTACGTACAAGGCGGGAAAAGTTTTTAATTAATGAATAATGAAATTTACCATCTTCTTCATACAAAAATAAATCAATAGTATTTTTACAATCTTTCTCAGCCATCCTCAAAGGATAAATAGTTTGTCCATCATTTGAAAAAACATTTATTCCTGGAAGATTTGGATTAAGTTTTTCAAATTTGTTAATGTCTTTTACTTTCATTGGAAATGTAATTCCTTTAGTGATAAGATCATTCTCATACTTTTTTAAATCTGTAAATCGACTATCATTCTTTTCTCTTGGATGAAGATAACGAAGTACTGACCAAATAAAACATTTATCATCTTTATTTCGAATACTAACAATTGATTTTTTTCTCATAATCCAATCTGGAAGAGGAATATAAGAAGAACCTTTCATTGGTTTTAATTGAGTTGTATGAATTTCTAGTTGATAAATTTCTTTAAAATACCACCCACTTCCATTTTTTTGATAATTAGACACTTTTTCATTAATCTGTACTATACTTTTTTTAAAAATATCTTTTATATCAGATGATGTAAAATTATTGAATGTAATAGAATTAAAATATGATTTATCTTGAACTTTAAAAGTTGAATTACTATCTTTTGATACTTTTTCCTTTTTTTCCATAATACAAACTAAAATAAACCTTAGTTTAGTATTACGATGATTTCTAAGAAATTTTTTAATAATATGTTTTTTATTTCTAAAAAATTCAAGAGGTAAAATACCTGGTTTTCCATTGATAATATATTTTTTAGCAAATTCGTTTAGAGCTGATTTTTCAATTTCAATTCCTTGTTCATACTCATTTATAGCTCTCTCAAGAGCTTTTCGTAAATAGTCTGGAGTATCTTTAGGAATTTTTCTATTTTTTATACATTCCTCAAAATAATCCTCAAATGATTTTATCTTTTTGGTAACCACTTTGGTTTTAATCTTTTTTGGTTTAAGTTTGGTTTTAATCTTTTTTGAATTAACTTTTGGTTTAACTTTACCTTGTTTAATTTTATTTCCAATTTCTCTCACTTTTTTTATTTTTTCAATCACTTTTATCTTTTCTTCCAATTCCTTATAATCTTTCTTAACTTCTTGTTTGTCTTGTGATAAAATTTTTTTTAATTCGTCCAAAGACAAATTCATAAGTTGTTTATTTGTAGATAGTTGACTCATGACTTTTATTTTATTTATTTTATTTCTTAAATCAAATTTATTTTTTCTGATTCAATATCTCTATCACTTCTTTATTATAGTGTAGTATAGTAAATGTTGACATCTCACTCACTCACTTATTTCTAACTCTTCGAGCAATGTGAGCGACTACTTGTGAACGATTGAAGCAATACGAATGAGTTGAATGAAATGAGTGAGATGAGTGAAATGAGTGAGCGAAAGCGAACGAATTGAACGAATCGAACGAATTGAATGAAGTGAATGAGTTTTTGCGAAATGAGTGAACAAGAGGAGCGATATATTGCGAGATGAGTTAGAAATAAGTGAGTGAGTGAGATGGCAACATTTACTATACTACTGTATAACTCGGGGTGCTCATATGGTGTTATCCCTGAAGCTTCAATTTTTCCTCGTTTCTCGACTTTTTCTTGTGCCTGTTGACAAGAATTCCCATGTGGACACAAACCGATCGAGTGTCGGCAATATTTTCTCACGTGCTGCTTCGTTGCCGTGTAGCGGTTTACATTAGCAACGTCTCTGTACAAGATAATGTCTTTTTCTTTGGTTCAAAACATCATGGGACTAATAAAAGACAACAACAACAACAGATTAAAGGCGGAGTTAAATTTCAGCTCAGATTATAATTTAAAAAATATGCTTCCATGAAAAAAAAATCATATTCTGTTTGTTCTCAGCCAGTTCAGGGGTATGTTTGGCAAAGACAACAGTAAAATACCGAAAATAATAAAGAACTTAAACTAGCAGGCACAACTTGCTTCAAATAATTTTGTAGAAGAAGAAACCATTTCTGATCCATCTCGGCTTCGCTTCTCCAACCTCAGTAACCCGCATATCAAGTTAAAAAATGTCAACTCTGCCAAGTTTGTAGCGTAAATTGTCGCGAGAAAGTTTCTACATGAATCTGGGTTTTGAATTCTAGGTTGAGAAGGTACATACGTAGCCATTTTGTTTTAAAAAATGTACAGTTAATACTCACGTTTTCTACACAGCGCCAAATCCTTTTGACTCGCGTTTTGTACGCTTTACAACGCGTCAAATTAAGGGTCGAGCATGGGCAGGAAGCCTTTTCTGTGAAAAATTACTGCCAGCCGCGTGGCAGATCTGTCACGTCCTCGATCTAAAGCTCCCTATTGTCAACATGAAACTACACTGAAATAGGATTACATTTAACAAAGTGGCGGCCCAGAGGAAAACGAGGTCCATTTTCGCTTTTAGTTTGAGCATGATAGAGAGTAAAACCATGGTATAAAATTATCCACTTTTAACTGATTAGTGCGAGTTTAGTTGTTGTTAGCCTATAAAGACCTGGTAAAAACAGTCCATAATTTTCGTTTAACTGACGCACATTAACTTTATTTATTTCTCTGCAGGGTTTTGAAAGACAACAAGATCAAAGAACTCCCACCAGGGATATTCTCAAACCTCATTTACTTGCAGGAATTGTAAGTAAACGATCGACTGTCTCTTTGTTTGTTATTTAATACCAAACGTAACTAATCGATGATGAATGACATCAATGAGTAATCGATGAGTAATCACCGGGTAATCAACTGATAAGTCATTGATTATTCGCTATAATCAATGTGTAATCGATGATTAATCGACTGCCAGAAATTTTGTGGCCTATCGATTACTCGTCGATGACATCGATCGATCATTGATGTCATCGATGAGTAATTGATGCGTTCGATTACTTATCAATTATCTAATGATTATCCACCGATTAGTCATTGATTACACATCTCATACAATTTCCAGCAGTTTACGTTTCTGTTTCTTGACGATAATAACAGCCAAATAGGAATTGAACTTGCATGTAGAAAACCAATATGTAGGCCATGACGAAAACAGAACGGCAAATCAAATTTATCTGGTGGACAGTAACTAGCTAATATATCAGAAACGAAATTTTCAGAAGGCCGACTTATCTGTCTTACTCTCTTGGCTATTGGAGGCTGTGTCTTTGTTGAGAAACGCGGCCACCGTAGAGTGCCTACCGGGTAAAAGATCATGAATAATTAAAGCTTTTATCGTGACATTTATGCCNGGTTTAGTAAAACATTCAAAATCTGCATATACAACAAAAGGAATAGGAAGTTGTCTATCATAATTAGTAAAATGTAAAGTTTTGTTTTTTTCTGGCATTTTTACAAATGCTGATTTATTACTAGAACAATATTTGATGTGTTTATCTAATAATTCTGGTTTTGTAAAATAACAAAGACATCTCTTACAAATTTGTATAGGCTCATATGTTCTTGAAGTAATTTGACTACGTACAAGGCGGGAAAAGTTTTTAATTAATGAATAATGAAATTTACCATCTTCTTCATACAAAAATAAATCAATAGTATTTTTACAATCTTTCTCAGCCATCCTCAAAGGATAAATAGTTTGTCCATCATTTGAAAAAACATTTATTCCTGGAAGATTTGGATTAAGTTTTTCAAATTTGTTAATGTCTTTTACTTTCATTGGAAATGTAATTCCTTTAGTGATAAGATCATTCTCATACTTTTTTAAATCTGTAAATCGACTATCATTCTTTTCTCTTGGATGAAGATAACGAAGTACTGACCAAATAAAACATTTATCATCTTTATTTCGAATACTAACAATTGATTTTTTTCTCATAATCCAATCTGGAAGAGGAATATAAGAAGAACCTTTCATTGGTTTTAATTGAGTTGTATGAATTTCTAGTTGATAAATTTCTTTAAAATACCACCCACTTCCATTTTTTTGATAATTAGACACTTTTTCATTAATCTGTACTATACTTTTTTTAAAAATATCTTTTATATCAGATGATGTAAAATTATTGAATGTAATAGAATTAAAATATGATTTATCTTGAACTTTAAAAGTTGAATTACTATCTTTTGATACTTTTTCCTTTTTTTCCATAATACAAACTAAAATAAACCTTAGTTTAGTATTACGATGATTTCTAAGAAATTTTTTAATAATATGTTTTTTATTTCTAAAAAATTCAAGAGGTAAAATACCTGGTTTTCCATTGATAATATATTTTTTAGCAAATTCGTTTAGAGCTGATTTTTCAATTTCAATTCCTTGTTCATACTCATTTATAGCTCTCTCAAGAGCTTTTCGTAAATAGTCTGGAGTATCTTTAGGAATTTTTCTATTTTTTATACATTCCTCAAAATAATCCTCAAATGATTTTATCTTTTTGGTAACCACTTTGGTTTTAATCTTTTTTGGTTTAAGTTTGGTTTTAATCTTTTTTGAATTAACTTTTGGTTTAACTTTACCTTGTTTAATTTTATTTCCAATTTCTCTCACTTTTTTTATTTTTTCAATCACTTTTATCTTTTCTTCCAATTCCTTATAATCTTTCTTAACTTCTTGTTTGTCTTGTGATAAAATTTTTTTTAATTCGTCCAAAGACAAATTCATAAGTTGTTTATTTGTAGATAGTTGACTCATGACTTTTATTTTATTTATTTTATTTCTTAAATCAAATTTATTTTTTCTGATTCAATATCTCTATCACTTCTTTATTATAGTGTAGTATAGTAAATGTTGACATCTCACTCACTCACTTATTTCTAACTCTTCGAGCAATGTGAGCGACTACTTGTGAACGATTGAAGCAATACGAATGAGTTGAATGAAATGAGTGAGATGAGTGAAATGAGTGAGCGAAAGCGAACGAATTGAACGAATCGAACGAATTGAATGAAGTGAATGAGTTTTTGCGAAATGAGTGAACAAGAGGAGCGATATATTGCGAGATGAGTTAGAAATAAGTGAGTGAGTGAGATGGCAACATTTACTATACTACTGTATAACTCGGGGTGCTCATATGGTGTTATCCCTGAAGCTTCAATTTTTCCTCGTTTCTCGACTTTTTCTTGTGCCTGTTGACAAGAATTCCCATGTGGACACAAACCGATCGAGTGTCGGCAATATTTTCTCACGTGCTGCTTCGTTGCCGTGTAGCGGTTTACATTAGCAACGTCTCTGTACAAGATAATGTCTTTTTCTTTGGTTCAAAACATCATGGGACTAATAAAAGACAACAACAACAACAGATTAAAGGCGGAGTTAAATTTCAGCTCAGATTATAATTTAAAAAATATGCTTCCATGAAAAAAAAATCATATTCTGTTTGTTCTCAGCCAGTTCAGGGGTATGTTTGGCAAAGACAACAGTAAAATACCGAAAATAATAAAGAACTTAAACTAGCAGGCACAACTTGCTTCAAATAATTTTGTAGAAGAAGAAACCATTTCTGATCCATCTCGGCTTCGCTTCTCCAACCTCAGTAACCCGCATATCAAGTTAAAAAATGTCAACTCTGCCAAGTTTGTAGCGTAAATTGTCGCGAGAAAGTTTCTACATGAATCTGGGTTTTGAATTCTAGGTTGAGAAGGTACATACGTAGCCATTTTGTTTTAAAAAATGTACAGTTAATACTCACGTTTTCTACACAGCGCCAAATCCTTTTGACTCGCGTTTTGTACGCTTTACAACGCGTCAAATTAAGGGTCGAGCATGGGCAGGAAGCCTTTTCTGTGAAAAATTACTGCCAGCCGCGTGGCAGATCTGTCACGTCCTCGATCTAAAGCTCCCTATTGTCAACATGAAACTACACTGAAATAGGATTACATTTAACAAAGTGGCGGCCCAGAGGAAAACGAGGTCCATTTTCGCTTTTAGTTTGAGCATGATAGAGAGTAAAACCATGGTATAAAATTATCCACTTTTAACTGATTAGTGCGAGTTTAGTTGTTGTTAGCCTATAAAGACCTGGTAAAAACAGTCCATAATTTTCGTTTAACTGACGCACATTAACTTTATTTATTTCTCTGCAGGGTTTTGAAAGACAACAAGATCAAAGAACTCCCACCAGGGATATTCTCAAACCTCATTTACTTGCAGGAATTGTAAGTAAACGATCGACTGTCTCTTTGTTTGTTATTTAATACCAAACGTAACTAATCGATGATGAA